GCTCCTGCATACTAATTCCTTGAGGCTCTGTTGTCCTTTTACAGAACACAATGCTTACAAAAAAAAAAAAAAAGAAGAAAGCAAATACAGAACAGGTTGTTCCCTCTGTCATTAACTCGGCCCACACTGAGGTGAACGGGTGTCACTACTTTGTAATCATTGAAGTATCACAGCCCAACCGACAGGCTTCAAACTCCACAAGCAGACTAGAGATCAGGGAGGCAAGGGCTTGATCATGAGCATCGTAACTTTAAGATGACCCCTCCAGGAGTCAGCTCCCCTTGAGCCCGGGGATAATGCCACAGGGAAGGCCATATTCGTTGCTCAGCCTTTCTGTCCACCTTTTGCGCTGAAGGGCAGAAGGCAGCTGAGAGGCAGAGAGATGAAGTGCAGTGATCATACAGATTAAAGACGATGATAAATAAGGGAGTGGAAAGAAAGCTCTGCAGGCACGCTAGCTCCAAGGTCATTGCCAGCTTCAACTGAAGGAGAAAATGAACTGCCACCAGAGGAAATGCCTGCTCCTCCGCCAAGCTGCCACCTTAGGCTTTATGCTGGAGAAATGATCAATGGCAGCTGGCAGCCTTTGGTTTTGTGCGTCCAAGAACATCTAAAGACATTCATGACTGAAGATCAGTCGACTATGTAAAGCACCAAATAACTTCTCTGGATCTGCAGCCGCTAAAAATATATCCAAGTATTGTCCGTGTGCCCCAGGAGCTACACACCCCACGTTGCCCTGCACGGGAAACGCAGACAAGCCAGAGCGACAGGAGTGAGCAGGCCACAGCAGGGTCCAGGTAATTAAAGACACTGGTAAAAAGGAAACCCGAACAAATCAAACGAAGTAGCAGATCATCCAGATAAAGCCTTTACAAATGGGCACTTCAGTAAGCTATAGCTGTAGCTCAGTGGGCTAAAAGAGGTACTCATTTCTGTGGGCATCAGTTGAAAGTCAGTGTTATTGCAGGGAATATAAATGTGGTGAGATCATTCTGTTCTGTTGTCGATACACATTAAAAACAAAAAAATAAAATAACAGCACAGAGCCTAGCAGGACAGGGGCGTGCTGGCTGGAGAGGGACCAAGGAAGGAACAGACTGAAGCTAGCTGAACGACGCTGTTCGAGATACAGAGATGCATCCAGAGCACTTGCCCACAATATTCTGGGCTTATGCCAGTGCAGTTAGTTCCTTCCCACACAATGGTTTTGTGGGTTTTCAGGCTTTTTTTTTTTTTCCCCAAGAGAAGAAAATTCAAATAAGCTACAAGGGGATTCCAGAGAGTGGTGTCAAAAGGGGATGAATTATCTTAGAAAGCATGAGTGCATTAGGAAACCTCCAAGCATTAGGACTTGCAAGCACCCAAGCATTCCCAGAACCAGGTCATCCATTGCTTTCCCGCTCACTGAACGTCCCACAACTCTTCTCCCCTCCTGGAGCCCCACCAAAGCAGAGACTGGGCATCAGCATCCACGTGGATGGAGGCCAGCAGAGCACAGGGTCCCAAGTCTACTGACCACCACCAACTGAGAGCCAACTGCGAGTCAAGATTCCCAAGGAATGGAAAACTTTCTGGAAATTTCGTCTTGTCAGCCACTTCCAAAGGAAACAAGGGGTTAAAGCAGTGACTGAAAGGGCAGTGGTATTTACATAAGAAAGACCATGAGCACAAGTCCAGCCTGTATCAATATTAGCAATGACTAATTCAATCTGTCAATGTGAAGAATTACAGGAGCTCTGGAATACGGGGGAGCTGCTACAAAGCCTTCATTTCACAGACAGTCGATACTGAAAAGAAAAATAAATCACAAAAGCAACAAAAATCTCAAATTACAGCTAGCAAGCACGAGCACTCCCAGCACTGTGTTCATCCCAAGATTCCTAAATTCCTCCATTGCTTCAGTAGGAACTTAATGAACCCCACAAATGCACTGCTCAAGGCACGGATGTGCCAACAGCTTTAGCAGCAGCTCTAAAAACCCAGCGCTCCCCTTGCCTCACCCCTTTTCCCTTCCCTCCAAATTTGTCTTGTAAAACGGCAGGCCAAAATGTTGTCGTAAGGATGCAGTAACCTGCTTCCATCCGAGAGAAAAGTTTTAAAATGTGCGCAGATATTAACTTACTCTAAGTTTTCACTTGCTTTCCTCTGACTCCCAATACTCTACACTGAAATTATATATTAAAATTCAATTCCCTTAATGCCATATCTTCAGAAAAGATCTTGATGTGAAAACAGCATGGAAGTCCAAAACCCGTTCACTTCATTGCTTTTTAAAATTATCTTTTCCAAGATTTTTTTTTAATCACACTATTATAAATCTGGGTTATCTCCAGTTCACTGCTGAAACATATTATCAACTTACACTTTTCCCTTAGCTAATCATTAAGCATAAGCAACGCTTTGCAGGTTCAAGAAGTTATGAAGAGAATCTCAATAAGTTTATTATACATACCCATCCCAGATAATAAAATTACTTATAAACACTTGTATAAACATTTTACGCAGTTCAGGAAAAAAGATGCAGAGATTGGAAAACAACTGAAAGTAGCAAATGCACCTTTTGAATTGGGCTGTTTCCTCTACTTTTTTCCCAGAAGAAAAGTACATGATAAAAAACCCATTTCTATTCTGTTGGTTACCACTCAAATGCTCATTTTCTCTTGCATTGGTAATACAACAGCATTAACAGTACAGACAAAAATGTATTTGTTTGCCGAGCTGTATCTGGGTTAGATCCTGCTTTTTGATACAAAGCCCCAGTAGTGCAAAGCAGATATTGTGCCGGCTTATCTAGGCAGTGGAGGACAACCCTCCTGCACAGGAAAACCACCAGTCTCACCAGAAAAATGATGCTTAGACAGGTAAGTGATAAGAATATATAAAACCATGGCCTGTAGAATAATTTGTATCACCTATACCAGAAGTCCTTCTACATGCAGATTATTCAGTCTGCCTCCTGAGGACAGACAAAGCCTGTCTGTGTTACACCAAGTGATAACCTGTGTGTATCACATCGCTGCCCCACAGGGTCCGGCTAGCCTGGATGTGATGCAAACCAGCATCGAGGCTCAATTTTGGTCAAACAGCCAGTGCCAAAATTTGCACTAGCTAGATTTGCACAGCACCGTTGAAGGGAAGGAGACGGCTGTGGTGCAGGAGGAGGCAGAATTCGGTGCCAGGTCTCAGTAAATGAGAAAAACAAAACATGAAGTGATTCAGTACAGACAAACCTTTTCAGCAAAATATTTCTGCAAACCAGCATCGAGGCTCAATTTTGGTCAAACAGCCAGTGCCAAAATTTGCACTAGCTAGATTTGCACAGCACCGTTGAAGGGAAGGAGACGGCTGTGGTGCAGGAGGAGGCAGAATTCGGTGCCAGGTCTCAGTAAATGAGAAAAACAAAACATGAAGTGATTCAGTACAGACAAACCTTTTCAGCAAAATATTTCCCGTGTCTTGCTATCATCGCATGGTGAATCTCTCTTGGAGAGCGTGGGGAACAGCAGACTGGGCAGCTGACAGGATTTGAAGATCTCGGCACCCTGCTGCCTACGTACCGTCACTACACTAGACGATTAACATCCTCTGCTGTGTCGCACGCAGCATCGCAACAGCTAACAACTGCTAAACTTTCAATAGTCAAGTAGCAGACTAAGACACGTCCCCTATCCATCGCCTCCACGACTTCAACTCGCAGAGACAGGAAAAAAGATTAAAATGGAAAATGACAACGTAGTCTGAAAAGTAACTACATAAAAGTGTCATCACCTCATCCGGCAAGCCTGCTCCTTGTGCTGTTTTCAGTTAGAGGCAGGAAGCACAATACTTTTCTCTGGTGTTAGTTCAGCAGAGCCAGCAGCCCCTCGAGGGGGGTCCCCTGGATCCTATTCCTTGCCTGCAGGAGAGCTTGCCCCAAAGACGAAGTGACATGGTCTGGCATCCTCTACAGGATGCCAAAAACGGTCCCCTTTCAGATCCCAAGAAGATATTACAGGATAGCATATTTGAAGAAGAACCCTCAGCAAACTGGTTTGTGCTTAACTGAATTGCAGAGAAATCACAGACCTAAAGACTTCCTGTGAAATGCTCACAGAAATGCTTTTCTGAATGAACCTCACTTTTAAAAAACAAAGTAACACACAGGCAAAACAATGATGCACAAAAGAGTGATTCAGGCACAAAGGTGGACATGTGCAGCTTGTTCTGGTCTTTTTTGGTTTTTGTGATGACAGAAGCCATGAACTTCAAGTAAACATCTAAACATGCATTGTATAATTGCAATATAAAACTGATGCTAGTTCTCTCTCACGTAAACCTATGGCAATGCAGGCTAACAAGTGCACAGGATGCCTAATTAAAAATACTGGTAGTGTTTAGTCCTAATATCAATTGTTAGTACAGGAGAACAGTAGTAATGTCTAGGCACTTAAAAGTTGACAGAGAATTCAAGAGTGCTTTCCCATGCTGCCTGAAAAATATATCATCCAGTCTACAGTGGTATCAAATACTTATTTCTTGGACTTAGAAACACGATAATAAAAGGGAGGGAATGTGACCTGCATGCAGGTTAGCCTTTCTGTGAGCTATCTGCGTCAAGAATATTTGCAAACTTCATTAATATAAATAAAAGGAGGGTGAGAAAAGAGAGTTTCCCCAGAAGAAAACGGCATCAAAGTCAGTCTGTGATGATTAAGCCCATGACAAAATGAGCAAGACAATGACCAAGGAGAGGATTTTGTAGGTTTTCCCACTGCTTTTCCCTAGGGTGAATTATTTGGATGCAGAAAATGCAGGACAACCTGGAAAGGCAAGAACTAAACTTGCTTCCCAGGCCTTGCCACCTTTAATACCCATGATTGCTGACACTGAAAAGTCAGGTTAAAGTGTACGTGACCTGTCAGAGCACAGTGCTTGCCATGGGATAGCTGCTTTCTGCTGACTGAGAACAAGGGAAGACAGCCCATAGTCCCAGGACCAGCAGGCTGCCCTGGTAACCACTAGGACTCCAGTAGCATGTGCCACCTGCAGATCTGTGTCCCCTTCGACTCCTTCATTTCCTGCCAATGACTTTGCTCTTCCTCTCCGCTGCTGTTCTGACCCATAGAAATCCAGCCGATCATCTCCTTGCGCTTCATGCTGCGTCTGTTGTATATGGAAATCATTAGCGTGACATCAGAGAGCTGGAAGAGGGCAACCTGGAAGACGAAAGTTTCCTTGTAGACAGGGTTGGGCTGTCCTCGACGGATGGAGGTCTTGCAGTGAGACATCTCCTGGCCCATGGAGTTGAGCAGGCAGAGCTTTCCATAGGTGTCTAGGACAAAGAAGAGGAAATAATGTTTGGCATGGGTGACAGATTAAATGAAAGTACCAAGCGGTCAAAAAACACCCAAAAAACTCCAAGTAGAGCAGCTTTGTCTGCAGTGAATAACAGATGAGGGATGGACTGCTCTCCTTAGTAAAATCCATGGAATGAGGAGAAGCAGGTGAAAGTACCTCTTCTTGGATTTCCTCATATTCAGCTGGGGAGAAAAAGGAAGGAAACTGATGTCTGTTTCAGCCCTGCTCTCTTGGAAAGAGCAGGAAATCTGGTTCCCAAGCCTAGCAAACCTGTCTAAGATTAACTGAAACTATAAGCATCTCTATTGATTCTCCACATCAAATGGTGTGTCTCCACCTTCCCTTCTCCTCCCTGACGATCAAGCTTTGTTGGGGCTGTCTTACCAGGGCTTCCCTTGGCTACACTTGCCTCTCCACACCACTCTCCTTTGGAAGAATGCCTCTATGACCTATTATCTGAGATAGCAAAAAAAAAAAAGGGTCCTGAAAAAGAGGGAGAGGAAACCTGCATACACAGTGAAATGATTTGCTCTTGCATGGTGAGATCAAGGCCTGTTCCAAATTTTCATCTTACCTTTTTGCTGGACTCAAGGTCAATTTTATTCACTATTTAAGTCAATACAAGGAGTAAAAATGCTTAGTAGATACAGGGAAGGGATGGTCCAAGTCAGTGTTCCTGTAAATTCACCCTTAAAACTCTTGCTGCCTCCTGTATTAATTAGTTCACTTCTGTTATGTGGTTGCTAATACTGTGGTCTCAGGCAGAGCTTTGTGGTCCCCAATGCAGACCCAGCTCAGTGTAAGTTTTCACCTCGCTCTGCACACGACAGTAACAGATCACTTTGCTAGAAAAGTCCCCTCCTAACCCCTTCTTAATCTGTGCCTGGGTTTCTGCAAGTGAGTATTATTTCAGAGTGTGCTGAAGATAGGAAATAAATAACAAGCCTCCGTCTCTTGTCTACAGCATGTCTATCCTCTTCTGTACCCGTTTGATGTGCTATTTTACGCACTTATCTACTGAGCAACACAAGGTGTGAAATTACACTTCAGGTGTGAAAACACTTCTGTGTCTCCAAAGCAGGGCTCTCCACTCCTCTCAAACTGTTCCACTGAAAAAGCTGTCAGGAGACTGACAATCGAGGAGCAAATTGTGAGCCTGCACAGCTGTACAGCTATCGAGTTACTGCGGGGAAAGTTCAGCACAATCATTAGCTGGGGGTGCCAGCTTGGCTCCCAGCGTAACACTGGAGATGAAGTAGATCTTGCCAACAAAGACCTACTCATTAGACAGAAAAGCAGAGCTCAGACATGAAACAGTTTCCTGATTGTATCTGGGAAGGAAGGAACTGCTTTATCAAGAGGTGGACTAATTCCCATAGTAATACTCGGTGTTGGTGGTGCTGAGGGACTGAAATCTGCAACAGCTTCAGACCCATCGGAAACACAAAGCCCAAGAGATGACTCTCTTCTAGCTCAACTCAATGTGAAACCATGCAAAATAACTACCAGACACAATTTCTTGCAGTACTCGTAGAGATGTCACTTTGCTTTGTACTGACAAACCATAACATGCACTGAAGCATTCCTCATGGGAAGTCTCATGTGGGTGCTGCTCTGAGGCTGCAGAGAACTCCCTGGAAATAAAAAAAAGTGGGGAGTAGGGGTTTTATGGATTTTTTAAATGTATTCACCCTTTTTTCTGTGAGGAGGGGATTTCAAAACAGTGAAAAATCTCCGCCAGGCTGATTTTAAAATACAAACGAGCAGCTAAGTAGTACAATTCCCTGTTTGAATTTTAAAATTTTTCTTTCTTTCAAATTGAAAGCTTACATTTTCTACATGATTTCAGTGCATTTTCCAAACCAACCCATTTGTGGGCAGAAAGCTGAAGGGGCTTGTTTCTGCTGACACGCAAGAGAGGTGAGTGCTGAGAGCCAGGAATTCGTGGAGATGAGACCCTCTCTATTTGCTCCTGGCCCAATACCTCAGTTTTTCTCTAGATATGTCCCTGGTGTCATATCGCTTTCCCCACTACCCTCTGAGAACTGCTTTGCTGAGGGTGAGGGCATTTGATTGGGATCACAGTAGGGGCTGGGAAGGGTCAGCAAGGGCAGAGCTGGGGCATGGAGCAGCACCGGAAAGGTCCTGCTCCAGGACCCCTCGGCAGCTCCTGGGAGGGTTTCCCCAGCCGTGCTGGGGCAGGGGACGGGCTGAACAGAGAAGCAGTACGCAGCCAAGGACTGCCACAAACACGCTCCCTGCTATCCCCCCTGAGCATGGCAATGTGCAATATAACTAAGACCAAATGAAGTACTATTTGAGCTTATCTTCCTGTGCTGCTTCAGGGAAAGGTCACCCACACATGCCTGTACCTGGTTTTCTGAGAAGATGGGGGGAGGATTGAGGTCTAGATCTTCTTCTCAGTAAACCTTGCTATCATCCTTCCTTCTGACTGCTGCCAGTATTGGCAGCTCAGGTGGGATTCATCACACCCAACCACAGGTACATATGTTTAAGCAGTCTCCTACAGAGACAACCAAGTTATAGTCAATACCATCAAAGCAGCATATGACATAATTCAGCAAAGATCTAGTACACAACGCTACCATTACAGATGATTTAGGTTTTAACACTAAAGCAAGCGCCACAGCTAAAACACCTTGTAGGATGCTGTTTCAGGACGTTCCAGCTCATTTTCCAGGCAATGAATGGATGAGTTTCTTGCAGTCATAAACTCTAGGATGTCACATCCCTGACTGAGGCCTCAACTTTTGCAAGTGAGGAGTAATATAGCTGGCTTTAAGAAAACTGAGCATCGTACGACCAATGACTTAAACCCAACAGAGATCAATGTCAGAAAATTAGGCTTTTTCTTTAATACACATCAGATCTGCTACATAATTCTGCACCGAGGCCCTGTCTATACAGTACCAAGGTCGGTGGGAATTCTGCAGCTATCATCTGGATCAGGCAAGAATGTGCAGGATGGAAGGAGCCTACGCTCAGGGCAGAGCGAATACCAGGAGCCCTATGCATCCCCACGTAAACACAGGCACAAAACCAGCGCAAGTGACAACTAAATCAGGCTGCTAATTCTTCTCAAATTTATTCCACTGGGTGTATTTTACCAGCCAAAAGAATCAAACTTGCCTGAACAGAAATAAAAGAGTAGGTGTGGATAATATATTTAGGATCTGAAATTTGCTTTGCAGAGCTGGTACGTATGAGGCTGAGGTGTTATTCTGCTTCACTAACTACATTTTAAGATTGTGGTTTGCCCTTACTGCATTGTGCTCCTTGCAGCATCTTTTCAGGTGTTCCATCAGAAAACACTTCCTAGTTCTCCTCGTGGTCCTATCTCGTCCTCTGAGATGGAAAGCTCTCCCCTTTGGTTGGCTTTGCCAAAGAAAATCCATCCCCACATACACAGTGAGATTAGTGGAACTACAGCAAGGATGAACTTGAAAATTTACTGAGGAATGTACAAGTGAGAGCATCTATTCATTATGAAGGCAAACATTTTCCATCTAATTACATGCTCAGATTCAGTAATGGCCTCATTACTGCAGTATCTCAGCACTTTACGCTCTTCAGTGTTATTTACTTTCATGCCACCTCTGTCAAGCACAAAAGGAGAAGAGAGATTAAGGCTTACATTCTTTAAAATGCCTAAGTGCTCACCTTCTATTTAGGCACCTATCTCACTGACATGAAGAACAGCGAGACCTCTTAATATCTGGGAGTGTCTGAGACTGCAGCTTGCCCACAGTTACACAAAAGTCTGTGAAGAAGCAGGAACAAAGTCTGATTTTGCCGAGACCAATTTTAGCACCGCATACACCAGGCTCTCCTTTCCATATAGGTGTTGGAACAGAAGTTCTTGCTACAGATCATTTTTACTCTAAACTCATCTTTCATCTCTGCTATGAGTGGACTGAACAATGTTCACCTATACATAAAATATCAACATCTCTGCATTTAATACCAGAGTTAAAAGTACTAAATCAAGGAATGCTGCAAGAAGCCAGACACATTTTGGGCTGGCGCTGCATAATCTTACTCCAGGGGTTTGGCCAAACCTCTCCTCATGCAGACTGCTCTGTCACCATCAACACTGCCCCAACCATAAAACATCTCTTGAGAGCTCATCTGCAAAGGCAATCAGTTTATCCGCGATTCTTCTAATGACCCATTTCTGTCATCATCCTTCTAAGGGAACTAACTGATAATGACAACTCAGGGGAATAATCAACTATAATTTATATGTTCCCATTTTTGGAGCAGGGACCATAGTGTGCATTCTGCTTTCATTTACCCTAAGCTCTACCATTATTAATAAAGCTGACCTGTGAACAAAAACACTGCAATACAAAAGCATCCAACCCCCTGCTTGAATTTATATTTAGAAAGGAAATAAACAACTAAAGACTCCTGACCCTGCAGGTCTGTGGACTGCAGGGTACAACACAGTGCTGTACAGACTTTCCCACCCATGCTCCAGGCAAGCTACCTCATTTCTAAAAGCAGTATAACCATGTCAGCATGCGGCAATCCAGACTAATAACACCCGCAGTAAAATAAAGCCTTGGGCCTAGAGCTTAATTTCACCCAGCTGACATGCCCACACTCCTAGCCTACATAACGAACGGCAGCATTGCGTGGCAAAGCAGCTCCAGAGCTCAACTCGGTGCTACTCTGTACAGCGCAGCTCAACGCGAGGTCTTGGTTTGAGACCCAGAAGACCACTGCTCCATTTGTGCGTGGCTTTACCTCCCCATTAAACCTGCAGTGGGGCTGATACACTGTGACCCTGGCTCACTGCAGCTGGACTGGGAAAAGAGCAGGGAGGAGAATTAGACCCAAGCTTTTGTTCCCAAACCCACATTGTGAAAGTCTGGATTAGGCCAGAGGCAGCTTGTGGTCTGCTCTATATACCATAGAAGAGCTGAGAGCTGCCTACTATGTCACTGAGGA